GTTTTTATAGTTCATCTTTCCCCCGTTGCATCTTTACGGTCATGAATAGAGTTTGCACAATTACGCAGGTATGTGCATGAACCACACTACTCGAAATACCAGGGTGAATTGTACGGCCAAAGATTTCTGATGATATATATATATATATATACCCTCTCATGCATAACCATCACGCAACATCTTACATGTCTCGAGTGTAACAACACATGGATCCTAGAAACAGAACCGAATCATTTCTTTGGCAGAAAACACAAAATTTGACGATCAAATAAAGAAAACCAAACCGGAGATACAGAGTTCATGTAATAGTTGTCCATAAAGAATACATAACAGAGCTGAATAGGAATATAGATGTACCGTCATATAGTTCTGAGTCTGAATGACAGGTTCTTCACCAAAGACTGCCGATTTCGGATAGAGTGGCTCGCTGGGGGATTTAAGGACCGAGCCGATGCATACTATGCCGCAAGAAAGTTGAAACCCTATCTCACTTATTCTTTTGCTGTGAATATAGTGCGGATGCGTGGTTCTCCCTTATAGAAAATCTTGGAGGCTCTCCCCCTAGAGTGGTTGGACGTCGGGTCGTGGATTAATCAACATCTCGCGACAATGAGACCCACTAACAAAAAATTAATTAAAGAGATGCGAATTTGAAACTTGTTTTTGATATATTATAGAATGTCTCTTGTTGGAATCTTGGTCGGAACGTCTCTTGACACGGATCAGATACACAAGATTTTAAATATTTGGTTTCGAATCCAAGCTTCTAATTAATGTTTGGAACCCAATGTTAAGTATCCATAAATTATCCGACCGGCGGAAAACGATGAGGCGAGGGGTGGAGAGACAGATCTGAGAACTGGAAGAAGGCGAGACATAAGGGGTAACTAAACCAGATCTTAACCCTAGGGTTCCATGAGTCGGCTGACGGATGCGGATTCTCGTCATCAGAAAATCAGATTCTAGCCATTGTTAATCCGAACACGTGCCGTCGATGAATGAATACCCAATTTTCACGTACTCATCTCGTATGTCAAAGTTGAGTATCTAAAAATGGGGTTTGATTTGTCCAACCCTAAAAATACCTCTTCAACAAGTTAAACGTTTGAAATAGATAAACTCCAATTCAAAAGGATATATCATATATGTTACAAATATACATGATATATTTATATACTACCTCTTCAATTAAAATTTTTAGAATTTTGAATTTTGAATAAAGTGCCGGCAATATCTACAGGTTTTGACCCTTGTGTATGGATAGAGCTGATCCTTTAGGTGCATAGAGGAAACTAGTTTGATTAACAAGCTGATGTGTATTATCAGTTTTCCATGGTTCGTAACATCTCCATGTCATCATTTGGCCACATCCAAAATATCATCTAATCAATGGTGGTCCTAAAATTTATAATAATTTCAAAACAAAAAAAGAAGTCATACATACATACATACATACATACATACATACATACATACATACATACATACATACATACATACATACATACATACATACATACGTACATACATATTACGTGTGTCATCACACACTATATATATTGTGATGGTATATGAAATATTATGATATCCTCACCGATCAAATCTATGGGCAACCAACCTAAACGCGTGGAGCAACAAATAAGGTATTTTACTATACCATACAAAATGGATGAATCAACGGCCATATATATATATATACGGAACAAGAGCCCATTGCTGTTGCAAATGAACACGGTTCACAAGAAAATCCCGGTTCTCATCCACAACCGTAAACCCGTTTGCGAAACTCTCATCCAACCCGAATACGTCGATCAAGTTTGACCCGAAAAGGCCCCCTTTCTCCCCTCTAATCCTTATCAGAGGTGAACGTTTCGGGATTCGATTCAGAATTTTAACGTCTCAGTTCGGAAACAGTTTATTTGGTATTATAAAATTTGTATCAAATTAGTTCCATATATTATTCGGTTTGGTTCGGTATTATGAAGATTTAGAACGGTACCATACTAATAAATAAGTACCAAATAAGAAGCAAAATAGAAACAGTTCGGAACGATTCAGAACGGTTCATAACATATTTATAATTCATATAATATAAAAAGTAAAGATAATTTTAGACAACAAAATAAAAGTTTTGAACTTGTAAATTTAAAAGAAATTCAACATTAATCTCAATCTATTATGTAAACAAACTCTTAATATTAATAAATATCATAATTAACTATTAATATTAAATATTTTTTAATTAAAAAATAAAAATAACGAAATAACGTTTCGGTATTTTTCGAACCGAACCGAATCGTTTTCGAACTATTCGGTATTTCAAATTTCACACCGTTCGATATTTTTATATAATATCGAACTGAACCAAAACCGAATTAATCAGTTCGGTACGGTTCGGGATCATATTCCCGAATCGAATTGCCTACCCCTTCTGGGCCGATTACGTGGACAAAAAGTGCCCTTTCCTAATCGCTTACAACGACACCTGTATGTAAAGGTGTGTCTTTTTAGGACACAACCAATAGAAGGGTAGTGTGTCGTCTGCTTAAACATTCGTTCACACACTAAAAAGAACTAATAAAAGGATAGGATTACACAATATCGAAAATAACCTCACATATAGTATTCTTTAATTCTTCGAGAAATAATTTGGATCTTAAAACAATATTTCCGGTTCTAACAATCGTATTAATTACGATCATTAACGAGTTTTAAAAATACGCAATTCCGAAAAAAAATCAATCAATTGGGTACGATTGGATTTCCTTAACATGCATTCACACACCACTACAAATAGAATATTGAAAATAACTTAATTAATATACCATATTATTTGGATTGTGAAGCAGTATTTTTCTATTTTTGATAATTGAATTCTGATAACTAAATTCCAACCAAAATTGTCCGGATATCAACGAGGCATTTTTACCCGATATGTGAGAGCCGATGTTGGGATTGTTGGGGACGGCAGTTGTTGACGACGACAAAACTCCGGCAATTCGAGCGATTCCAGATAAGTACCTGAAATTAAAAGATTATTTTGTCGAGGCCTGTGAAACACAGTTTCCTTAAGTTCGATTTCCGTGCCACCTCTAAAGCTTCGAGGCTATTGGAGCACGGTGAACTCCCAGGATACAACGACCGCGTATTTGGAAGAAGCTTTCCAAATACCAAGCGAACTCAGAGAGAGATATGAGCAAATATGTGAATGCTCTTTTTCTCTAGAATGCTTGTTTCTTTTCTGTGTGTGTTTTATGAGCTAACCCAAGACCCCTATTTATAGTA